CTACTTTATTTTTCTTCAACTCATGGGTGCAAATTCCAAATTACACATTAAAAATAGTTTTGCCACTGAAATGCTCGATCAAATCAAACATTGATAATAAATTGAAACTTGCTGAGTGAGTGCTTTCTGATATATCGATTTGGATATTTTTTAATCTTTATTTTGGGGGCCCCTCTAATATGGAGGCCCCGGGCAGTAGCCCCGCCTGCCCTCCCTAAATCCGGCCCTGCTCATACTACAGAAATATAAAAAATAGTCTTCCGCTAAAGAGGATCTCTCCTAAAATCCAAACCTTGTAAAAAGCCTTTGCTTGGATTCTAAATTTTTTCCACAAGACACTACTACAAAGGGGGCGATCAAGCAGTGAAAAATAGATTTGATAGGCAAAATATTCTAAAGTGGTAGATAACTTCACATCGTCTGGTATCATAGATTATATAGTAATAATAGTAACAATAGGATAGTAAATGAAAATATTAAAAAAAGGTATCAACTGTTCCCAGTCTCCCCAATTGTGGCTCCAAAGAAATACTGTCTCTCGACGCGCGTTTCGCTAATTAAGTTAGCATCATCAAGAGACGAATGAGTCTCATCAAGAAAGAATCAGGTGTCCTGCAAAAAAAATTACGCAAACTTATATCACTATATTATTGTTTGAAGAGAAACATTTTTTTTTGCAACACATATATGCTTTGCTATATCGGTTTCGATTAGGTTGTATTCTATGTAACTTTTATAAAAAATGTAGAAGTCGGTGCGGAGATAAATAATTTCTCTCAAAAAAAGGAACATTGAAAAGTTTGGTGTAAATAATTCCGTAAAACTTATTTGGATGTAAGAAAATGTCATCACCATGCTTTCAATATAAATGAAGGAGTGAGTGGGTGAGGGACTATTAAAGAATACGTTTGGTCTAAACACCAAAAATGCTGTCACCAATGGTCGTTTTGATATGTTCGGGAGGAGTTATAAAATTACTTGAGAACAAGTATCTGAAGAATCAGATGAAGAAGAAAATTCAATCTTATGATGCTTTAAACTTGCCTTTTACAACCTGTAAAACTCATGATTTATCGACCATTCTTCAGTAAATTAAAATTTGCTTTCGAAAATAATAGTTCTATATTTTAGTTACTCAAAATTCCTGCCCAACCATTTAGTTTTTGGGGACATTAGGTGTGCATTTTGACGTGCCACAGTGCTATTTGAATCACTCCAGTATCGGAAGTTTGACGATTTACTTACTTCAGATAAAAGGTTCATTCATCTAAACGAAGCTGGATTACGGTCATCGCGATCCGAGAGGATCTCACGAAATTCAACTCTTCTGTCGAAATCATCTTTATTCATTTTGTATGGGCGGAATTTGTGTCGGAGGATTTTGAAAACATTTGTACCACTTACTCTGATGCTTGCATATTTTCCATCAAGGAAACGATCAGGATAGAACTGCAATATTATTGCCTTCGTTACTGACTATTCCTGAACGGTCATGTTATCAATTTCCAAGAATTTATCTGACAATTCCAATACATACGTATGTCTTATATTTCTGCCCGGACAAACACAATACTCGTGTATTGCAAATTTTCCATGTTCGTAATACAAACCTACAATTTGAATCCAGTCTTGAAATGTATCTATTGGTTGTGTATTTTTTGAATTATTACGTGTTCTGGTCTGTTGTGTTTTTTTATTGCTGATGGATTTGAAGCCGATGCTTCCCCCATTGACGATTAATCAAGAGTAACATCTGGAAAGAGCACAGAAAATGATATGAAACAAGATGGATGCATGACTGATGATGAAATTGTTTGGAAAAAATATATATTAATAAATGTTGTACTACATATACGACTAGCAAGAAACATTGATAAATATTGCTGAAAGCAATAGCCGAATAACTTATACATTCAATAGAAAAAATACACTATTTTTAGAAGATTACTGTTGAGAGAATTTGAGTATATACTCAGTAGGAAGCGTTGATCCCAACTAACATAGTTAAAAAAAAGGGTTCGAAAAAGGATGCAGAAGAGGTAGCAATCCCTCTGTAGAAACGGGTTCATGAAACCCGGCGTAAGTAGTAATGTCGACCATTTAAAGAGCGAGTATAGTAGAAGGTTACGAAGACTTTTTCAACGTCATCAAGTAAGATCTCATTTCAGTTGAGTTTTTATCATCGAAATCCTGAGTGCATGTTAATAAGTTATTACAGAAATGGCATTGAAATACATTTCATTTTATTGAAATAGTCTATTGAAATTAATCACTTTCAAGATTGGTGAAAGTTTGGCACAACTCCAAGCTTCTGCAAAGCTTCTCAAATTGAAAGCGATAGTAATTAGTAGTGATTCTGTTATAGTGTGTTTCTACAGGGTTTTCAAAATTTAGTTAGAAGTTGAGTTCCAAATCTTGCGGAAATAAAATGTTTGGAATTCATCTTCGAACGCATGCCTATTCTGGAAGCTGTTTCTATGTTCGTTCATATATGCTTCACATATTCTTCCAGTTTGACCTATGTGAAGTAAGAATCTGTTTAAAATCCGTTTTAAATCTGCGTTTTAATAAGCTATCGCCCCCCTATGAACGATAACTCTCAAAAGTCCAAAATTGTGCGTGCTATTACCTTTTAACGTGTGATTCCTAACACGGATTGGACGATAGGAGATGAAAATCGATCGTCCGAGCCTTACGGCTCGAACCATCGGTTCACACAGCGGTCGATTGAGTGAGTGAAACCATCCATCCACGTCAACTCGACCGGCTACAGTCCTACCATAAAACAGTTGTCTTGTGTCATTTGTAATATACAGGCGTGAGTTATCATTATTTCCATAAGCCAAAACAAACTTTAACATGTTTAGGTCAACCTATACTATAACAATTTTCAATTGAAGGTGATTCATTAGTGACGTCGCACTTGAAGTGACCAACGGATAATCCTCTTACCAACTCTGCAGAGGCGTACCAAAATAATATTTTTATTTATTTAAACACATAGGTAATTACGTAAAAATTGTTATAGTAGGTGGCGCTACCTGATGTCGATGGTAAAACTGATTACATTTTCTTATTACGCCTAATACAGTATTACAAAAAAACAGAAAAATTCACAAAATAATTATTATGTTCCTTTTATATAGAAAGAGAACTACAAAGCAAAGAAATAATTACCTAGGTTATGCTTATGAAATTTCAGAATCCATTGACTCGTCCGAAGAGGAATCCCCAGTCACACTTAAATCTATTATTATTTGGTCGAAAACAGTGTCTACCATCCCGCCCAATCTCCACATTTTCTCTTCTTCCTTGATCACATGGGGTACAGCATTAGCCCAATCTTCTTTCCATATCCGTTCCATTGCGAGTTCTAATAAACGTTGGACATCAGAAATTTTATATGTCACGTTTTCACGAGATACGTAACCCTTAATTTGAGCCAAGATTAATTCTATCGGTTTTAACTCGCAATGGTAAGGAGGAAGTCTCACTCAGAATGGTGATGCCTTCAGCACGAGCTATTGTATCCACCACATGCTGGCGAAATCTGTCACGATGCTGTTTAATCGCACTCATAAGCTCGGCCTTAACCATGTCCTCGAAAAATTGAATTCCTTTTTGTCCTTAACAACTCTGCATGTCTGCTTTTCTGGTGGTCATAGTTGGCAGCTATTCTACTAATCGGCTGTAATAAGAAGCGTTATCCTTTACTATTACCGAATTTGGCTCGACTCGTGAAAGAAGTGATTCAAACCATCCTTCTAAGCTTTAGGCGTCCATGTCTTCGTGGTAATCCCCCATTTTTTTGGATAGAAAGTTACTGCACTATCGTCTAAAAAGCCACTCTCGCTACCTATATTATATGGGCGACAATTAGTCGTTGCCCTTTACCCGTTGGTCCGCGTAACCCTGTTGATAAACCGTCCACAAATGCTTGACGATAACTAGTTACGATAACTAGTTAAGTCTTGCCAGATCTTAGATATTGTGTGACCAGCATTCACCCACGTTCCATCCAGATAATAAATCTTTTTGTGAGCAGAACGCATTTTTCTAATAGAGCGAAGATATCTCCGTCGCCATGAGACAATATCTTCTCTTTCTATTAAGACAGATTTACGGGATCGTTTGTCATATATAAATTTTAAATCTTCTTTTGTTATTTTCCTTAACTTCTCTTTGCTCATTTTTGGAATGAGATCATTATCCATTACCTTTGTCCTAATGGATACGAGGGTTGGCGCTTTATTCCCAAAAAAGAAAGAATGAATGATATAGCGTACACCATTTTTCTGGTACTCATCCAAATCAATTTTTTTTCTACCACGACAATGTACTTTTGGAGCTTGCACAATCCCAGTCACCTTTTTTTCACGTACAATGCGTTCAATTGTCNGTGTAATATATCTGAGGGTGACTACTTTGAAGTGGACAAAATAGAAACTGATAAAATAGCTCTTTATCTGTATTATGTCCAACTGTGTCTCTTGAAAGTTAAACCGCCCTAAATAATTCACAAGAGCTACGACCTATTACCGTTGATGGATTATACACAAATTTCTCAAACTACAGCTTTAACAAAAACTCCATCTGAAGTTTGGTCAGATCGTGTCTTAGTTCTTTTTCAGTGGAGGTAATTTTCAAAAGATGATTTTCTTCAGGATTCATTGTGTATCTGTATTGTTTGTAGCTGAATAGACGTGGAGTTGAAACTATCCCAAACAATACCGCTAATTTATGATGCACTGTTTGGAACCCTTGGTGTAGTAACAAATATAGTGGAAAGCACACTACAGCGTTTGTTTAACTTTCAACTATATTCTAAAAATAATGAATGCTCGAATTTGCTACTGTTTTCAAATATTCCCATTGGCTGCGTAACGTTTTCAGACAGCGTGCTGTGTGGGAAGCAATACGAGATGAAAATTTATTAGAAATTATGGGAGGAAAGCTAGAAATCCACTATAACACTGCTGGAAGTAATAATAAGGATGGCTCGCGCAAAGAATTCAGTTCTTCTACGACTCTTGTCTCAGCTGAGGATATTATATTGGTCATATAATCATACATCAATTTTATTTTAAATGAAATAATTCTAATTTTAAACAATATAGACTTTCATCTGATTTTGAAGTCAGTTTTGACCTAGTACCTAATAAATTATTATAATACAAGTTCAATGTTTTCTCACGTCAAAACTGAAATTTCATTGTCTTTCTTTGAGAAAGACAATGAAAAACATCCACAAATTTAATTAAATTGTGAAAACACTTTTGTCTATACCCTAACAAGGTGAGCTTGGAAACATTTTTTTCTTCCATTTTTTCGAGAGATTTTGAGGGAAGTAACACTCTTTCAAAAAACATACATGAAAAGTGTTTTCAGTTGATAAAATTCACACATACAATAATTATCAATGAAAAACAGGAAATAATAATAACCGTTTTTTTCAGGATGAACTCCCCCCAGAACAAATCGCTGGTAAGTTGATATTCTGAAAGAAAAAGTATTTTCCACCAAGAAACAACGCAGCCCATGAAGAGATTATAAATCAAAATTCCCTAAATTTACAATTGTTTCATTTTCAAAACTGCATACATCTGGAAAAATTTATAGATAATTCAGGATTATTGCACGATGAAAAAGAGGCTCTTCTTATTGTCTTATAAACAACTGAATTTCCTGTTAGGCATATGTGTTATAGTGGAGAACAACGCATGGAGAATCTCAGAAAATCTGTGAGAAACGTTTTTAATTCGATGTCAGTTTCAAATTTTGATTTTCTCAATATCTCCTTAAATAAAGATAACACGATAAAATGGGCCATTACCTTTTTTGTTAAAAAGGAAATTCTCTATCAAAATGGTATTTTTATTTTTTCGTGTGAATCACTCTTTTCAGAGTCATCGGAATTTAATGTCTTTTGTAGAGAACAGTTTTCAAAAATTTCAGCCGTCAATTTATAATATGTCCATTGCCTTTTTTTACAAATAAACACGAATTCATAACAAAAGTTTTTCTTAACTTTGATTTCTGTAACATGTTCCTTAATAATTAGGATATCAAGACAAAATTTGACCATGAAAGTGATATAAAATACGTAACAGGTCAATAAATCACCCTATAATGAAAAAAAATTAGAAGAAACCTTTTTTGTATAGGATTTTATAAAAAAATATCAAAGACTATATACCATTTTACTATAACTTTGAATTGAATTCGTATTTGAAAACGGTGACTTTTACGAAAAAAACTGGAGATTTTTGATTGTAATAGTAAATGGAATAATAACTGTAAATATCCCAAAATTGCTATGACAATGAATTTTATCAAACAAAAAAGATAACACATTTTATCGTATCTATAATTCGGAGATATCATCGAAAATAAATGTTTGAAACTTTGACATTATTCCATCTACTTATAGTTATATTTCGAGATTTCTTCAACTTCAACGAAAAAACTAAAAAAATAAATACTCGGATTTGCCGAATCTTTGCAGGAAATATACTCTACGGTGAAATAAAGGTGTATATGTTTTTCCAATGTTATGGGCAACAGGAGTCGAATAGTGCTATACTAATAATACCTGTCAAAGGCTTCATATGAGTTTAGCAAAGGAAACTATTTTCTCTCTCAGTGCCCTTGGTAGAAAAGCAATAATGAATAAATTTCAATGACTTTCAAAATGTATTGACTTAATAAAATTCTACGGAAGTTCACGAAATTCGAAGCCATTCAGTATCCACCTCTGCGACATCTTGAAGCTCGATATATTTCAGTAGCTGTCTATTTTTGAAAGCAAAATATATAAACATAGGACTCTAGAATTAAACCAGTCTCCCACATTTATATATTTCCCCATAAATACTCCATTCTAAAATTATAAAGCGCTAAGCAACGAGAACGGACTCGAAAGGTTCATCAAGGCGAATGAAAAATTGGGAGCAAGTGTAAAATAAATTCATCAAGCGATAATTATACCATGTATCAAAAAATTCTAAATATCTTTATTTCATTGATCGCAGTTTGCCAGAAAACGAAATAATTTAATGTTTTTCCTTTTAATTTCAGTGAATTTAATAGCTACGACTAAGAAATGTAACAAATCTGTTTTGATTATTGAAGCATCTTAGATATGAATGTTTGCCTCATTTGTCAGTTTTTATGATGCACTGTTTGGAACCCTTGGTGTAGTAACAAATATTACTGGAGTTTTTTCCTAACACCTAATCGTTACTTTTAATACCTCGACACGTGTTTCGATCACCAAGTGATCATCATATTCAAGAGGAAGATTCAACTGTTGAATCTTTCGCGGATTCCTTCGACAAAATTTGCTTTGAGAATCATCCACCTTAACTAAATTACTCAACTTATATATTATAGATAGTTTTCTTTGCTTGAAACAGCTGAATCCTTATAGAATATAATCTAGTTGAAATTATTTTCAGCAGGATTTAATGCGACACAGAAATGAGGTTAGACAAATTTTTAATATGTTCATGAATCTCTCACAATGTAGCTAATGGAATATTCCTACGAAAACTCTTACTCACTAGAGTTGTAACACTTTTCTCGAGTCGTGCTTCAACTAACTGCAAAAAAGTTCTTTTGTAAATATGGAGAAATCGACGGTTTAGGATAGACTCGGAGAAAATGATCCAAAGACATGGTTTTGAAAAATTTTTAGCGATGTCATTCAAAAAGGATATCAACTTTTTTATTTCTCGAAACGTTCCTAATGGAATACATAATCCGTAAGCAACAAATCAAGTTCCAATTAAGTTAAATAATGTATCCATTGGGTCAATGAAATTATTGATCCTGAAAATATTCTGTGAATGAAAAATTACAGAAAACGGACAAACTATCGAAATTCGTTTTCTGTTGGTGTATCACAAGTGCTATTTTATTGAAAATCTAACCTCCAACACCGAAAATTGTTATCAAGAATTGACATCCAAAAACCCTATGAAACTTTTTTGAAAAAGGCCCGGAAAAAATTGAGTTAAGAAATGTTGTTTGGTTTTTCGCAAATTAATAATTTTTCATACTTTTCAGAGGAAAAGAGAATCTTTCATAATTGGTGTTATATTTCTCAAGCTAATTTAAATTCTTTGAAATATATCCCAAATACAATGCGACACATACAAAAAACACTCCTTCATTTTAGTCATTTTTGTAATCAGAGATTCGATTTTTGATACAAGGGTAGACCTTCATAGGCCGCACTTTTCGTAATACTTAGCCCGAGTGACAGCCTTAACCACAGCCCACTGCGATCCCGTGAAAAGGACAAATTCTTGATATTTTGCTTCACTTTGGAAATACCGAACTGAGTTATTTGGAAAGGTTACTTAGAAATCGATTTAACAAATTGCTTCACGATGCCCAGTTTTATGTGTAATGGCGGAAAAGGATAATTTTGTCACGACCTACTAATAAGGGTCACTTTTTTTTAACCCAATGTTCTTGTTCAGCTCTACTGTCCTAAAGACATAAAAACAGGAAAACTTAGTATGACCACTTTTTGTTGACCAAAGAGAATATTTACCATTTTTAAATCAACATAAAGCCACTTATAGTCATTACATTTTATTTTATCCAAAATTAGCGAGATGTTTCAATCTTCTTCTTTTAACTTTGTACCGTGGGCAATAGGCACCCCAAATAATTTATTTCCGTGTTGTAACAGAATACATTTTAGGCTACGTAACGTTTTGAGTCGTTTGGTTCGTATTGTGTCAACCCCATTTTTATCAACAAGATTTTAACGTCTGTACAAAATGCAATACAGTTTTCATCAGAAAAATAAAGTCGTAATTTATTTTCTCTAACACAATAAAAAGTTATTTTAGTACCTGACGAGAGCAAAATTGTTTTCTTTCAGTCTTAATGCCAACAATTCTGAAGCTTGTTTAGAGAAATTTAAATATCTTACAAGATCATCTAACTCATTTTGGGAAAAATACTTTGGCTCATTTGGCATACCTTCAAAATCAACATCATTCTGTGATGAACTTGGTCGTTCATTGTCTTGTTCTAAAAGGGGTCAGATAAGATATATTTTTGGGTAAATGCTGCACTGGAAGCTGAACACAATTAGTACTTGGGTACTGCCATTCAGCTCGATTTTCAGTGTTTAAACCGTTTATATTCACACTACAAAAGTTACAGTCATCGGTATGATTTTTTGGTTATCGCCAAATAGTGGTGTTTCAAATTTAAAGCCACTGCTTTAACCACTTTTCCATAATATAAAATATTCCACACACGATTTACAAATACTATCAGGAGCCTAAGACTTCTCATGTTTATCCAAGACCATCCCAAAATACTCAAAATATTTTTCACCGTGATATAACTTTTCTACATTTGTTCAACACATTTTCCGCATATATAATAAAAAGTATTTGGTTTGTTACTAGTGTAATGATCAGGTTTTTCATTCTAATTCCTACATCATAACGATTCATTATTTATTATTATTTTCGTAGCTTTTTATTTAGAATCATTAATAGAAAATCGGACTTGAATATGAAATTTGATTTTGAGTTGAAATTCGGTATGTAGGGTCAAAATCGATTTCTGAGTAAGTTTTTCGGTATTATCAACGCGAAGCAAAATATCGAGAATTCGAATTTTTCTCAGGAACGCAGTAGGCTGGGTTTAAGGCTGTCACTCGGGATATTACGAAAAGTGCGGCCCATGAAGGTCTATACCTGTATCAAAAATCAAATATTTGCTATGACAAAATACAGGAGTGTCTTTATTAAAAGTGTATCACACTGTATATAACATACCTACAACTTAAAATTTCATTTATCCTATTTTTGCAGTACTCCGTAAAGCTTTTGAAGCTTTCGACAACCAAAAATCAGGAAGCATTCCTTGCGATATGGTATCCGACATCCTTCGTCTTATGGGACAGCCTTTTGACAAAAAGATTCTGGAAGAACTCATTGAGGAAGTTGATGCTGACAGTACGTATAATTTTAAGCAATGTTGTATTTTTTGAAATTCTCTCAACGACCCTGCCAAATATTTTATTGATCATAATTATCCTCTAAAAGCAGTCACACTTAATATTCTACAACACAAAATGACAACTTGAAAAAATCAATTGTATACCCATTTCAAACAGAATACCAAATTTCCAAAAGACATCTATAACTATGACAAATTCAAGAAACAAACAAGATATCTATCTGAAAGTTGCTTTTATTCTGTTCAGAAATTTCTCAATCTCTGAATGTATACTACTTTCATAATCTTTCAGTACCATTTTCCTTAACACGAATTTATTTATATTCAAAAAAGACAATATTAACATATTTTATGACTTGCCACTTGTACTATGTACTTTATGCATGGTCAAATTAATAATAACTATTTTAATTGCAGATGTTATCATATATGACTTCAATTTTTTTTAATAATAGTACATTCAAAACATATGTAGGAAAAGTGACATTTTATACCAGAAGAGAAAAGTGAAACTGCATTACATCATTAAAACAAATATAGGATGTTCAAGTAACACTTCATTTTAATATTTCACAGAACGGTTTACAAAACCAAAACATGTTTTTCATCATACAATAGTTTCTTCAGGTCGTTTTTACACTATACAAAAGCTTGCACAGACTAAGCACACGCAGTTTTGTAAACTGCTCAGTAAAAATCTCACAATGAAGTGCTACTTGACTACGTTATGGATTTGTATCAAGTATCGGTTAATACCATACAACTTTGATTATATAATTGATTTTTTTTTTACATAGACAAGATATGGATTCGATTCCTGTGATTCTCTAAATTATGAAAAACGAAAATGTTTATGGTGATATCGAATAAGAAAAAGACAATAAGTCCGAGAAAGATCCAAAAAATTTTTCCCACTCATCTATAATTTGTTATGTCAGGCTAAATTTGTTTCGTGTCCACTAACAGGTGTCAATTATTTTTCTGAATGGAGCTATTAATTCACTGATGTATTCTTGGCACTTGTTCAAATGAAATAACATGTGAGACCTATATTGCTATAAATTTTTTCAACAGAATCTGGGCGCCTAGAATTCGAGGAATTTGTAACACTAGCTGCCAAATTCATCGTTGAGGAGGATGATGAAGCCATGCAGAAAGAACTTAAAGAGGCATTCAGGTTATATGACAAAGAAGGTAAATAGACATTACTAATATCAGAAAGTGATAAGAAAAAACTCAGAAAGCAAAGTTATCCATTTTGAATGGAGTAAGATCACCCTCCACGTTTTTTCACAGAATGTTTGAAATGTTCTATTATTTTTTTTCTCTCGTGGTTTCAACCAAATGTGAAAATCTGCCAAAAACTACTTTTTTTATTGTAAACAATTTCGAAGTTTTCACTTATCTAGAATATCATTGCAAATTGATCATGATTTCAAATTAAAATATTCACTTTTAACAAGACAATTCGTACACTCATATGAATATGTAATTTGCAAATCATAGATGATTAAGTAAAGGTAAGGTGGAGCAAGTAGTGGTATAGCTTGCAAAGTTCAACAAGACCTAAAAAATTAGCTTTTAATGTTAGGTTGGTCTGGATACCTCTGAACCCTCTACTTTCAAATGTACGGTTGTTTTTTCCTTAACACTGAAGAGTAAATGGAATTTTTCTTTTCTTTCGAAATTTCATATCCAAGTAGAATTGAAGAATAAAAATCCATTCAATCTGTCTCAAAATGAATACCTTTTTCATGAAACTATATATGTAAATATCTGAACTGAAAGCAAAATTGAAATATACTATAACCATAATAACATCGTTTTTACAGGAAATGGTTACATCCCCACCACCTGCCTTAAAGAAATTCTGAGAGAATTGGATGATCAACTCACAGATAAGGAATTGGACATGATGATTGAAGAAATCGATACTGATGGATCAGGAACAGTTGATTTTGATGGTAAGGTTTTTACTTAATGAAACTAAGTCACTAGAAAAACTTGATGGTTAACTAGAAACTTCATATTCACATGATAAAATTAATGTACCTACCTAGTAACACTTCATTATTTTCGATGGATTTCCAATTTAATCATATGACTCGTTTTTATATATTGTTGACCTCCCCTTATAACGTTTCACCGACACGAGGGATTGTCATCTTCAAAAGTACAGACTCCCGAAGGTACCAATCTTCAATTCAATGAAATCTAATCATAAAAACGTCACACAATCAATCCAACGTTATATATGCAAGAAAACTTCCCCTTCATAATTTAGGTTTTTCTTCCACATTCAATATTTCAAAATGAATGAATCACCTATCGTTATACCTATTTATATTACAACTTGACATTTCAAGTAACGGTTTTAGTTTAAAAGCCATAATTTGTGTATTTTTCTTTTCAGAATTCATGGAAATGATGACGGGAGAAGTCTGAAGACAAAGCTCAGTCATAAGAACTTTGCATCTTTCCTTGAAAAACTATTTACTTTTGGTCTTAAAGTCTTTATTTATAACTGTTAAGATGAGACAAACATGAAAAATATTTATTTTAGTTACATACTGTTTATACATATATGGTTTAATAAATATAGTGAAAAATATGGTTTTATTATAATATATTTGTACCTTGAAGCGATATAATGTGCAATCGGTGAGAAAATAAACATATATGTATATTTCCGTAGATATGAATTAAATGACAGAGAATAAATCGCAGAAAAGTTACTTCTCAGGAAGGAACAAAATTGGGAAATATTTCTTGAAGCACGATCTTATTCTGATGCTGTTAACTTGAGTGATGAAATATGTGTCAATAAATATTTTACTATATTGAGAAAAATAAATATGTTAGATATGGATTCTTATTTGACATGAATTACAAAATCCTACAGAACTTCTGAAAATGATTCCTCCTTACATAAATGAAAATTATTTCAGGGTATGTCCTGAATAATTAATAGTATATAAGGGTTCAGTCATAGTTTTGAGACCATGCACTATAACGGGTGTCAACAAATCTATTAGAAAAGTCATAACTTCTGGAATATTAGGTTTATCAAAATGAGTACATAAATGGTACGAAGAGGAGAGTTTTCGCACATTTTTCACTTCCTGGTCACTTCTGGTTTCACTGGAAAGGGCTTTGATTTTGAACGGAATACCCTGTTTATCTTAACATTTTTTATTTCTGAGATAATTCTGGATCAGAATGTGTTATTTAAAAAAAAGTTAATGAAGTAGTCTTAAACTTCATTTCTTATGAGTCACTTTTAATATTGAATCTACGTGGCCATGATCACAAATAAATTATGAGGCCTCAGGTGATGCCACAAAGTTACAATCACAAAGTTTTAGTGACTAGAATGATAAAGTGAAATAAGACACGTTGACGACCATTTATTGATAAGCAATTCCGAAAAAGGAATTTTTTGTCGAATTTACCAATACTAATTGATTTTCTATTGGTTCATAACAAAAAAATTAATAAGAAAAAAATGGATAATAATATATTTACTTCCGTCAAGTGTGCCTTGGCTAGCCAAACAGAAGTATTGACAGGTAATAAGCTTTATGGGCAGACAGTAAGAGGTTTTCAATTTTCGTTAAATTTTAGTTCAATTTTTCGTCGAAGAAATGTGTACTCAACGGAGAAAAGTGAATAAGTTGAAACTTATTTATTTGGAGAATATCCATAAATTTTTTACTTCTTATGATCCAAAACCTCACATTCCCATAAAATAATAAAATAGAATAGAATAGTTTATTTGACAACATTATACACTGCTGCATAACTATAGCAAGTCACAAAATGAAAATTTCAATAAAAGTATGGTCGAGTAACACATTTAAAATAGTTCACATGTTAAAATGAATGATAACAATAATAAACAGAGCAATAATAAAATTATCATGACTTCAGTAAGTATCCATCAAAACCACAGCCCTTCGTTTGATACACTCTTCATATTCCTTTAATGAATAAAAGGAATTCTCGGACTAGAAAAGATTCAATGAATTTTTTGAAATAGAACATTGTCAATTCTTTCAATTCACCAGGAAGAATATTATACAATTTATAAATTGCTTGATACCCAATTTCAGCCCTACTGCCCTTTTTAAAAACAGTAATTATTTTGGGAAATTTGAAGATATCAGGAAACTTTCCTGTTACAAACATCAAATAATTGATCAGATTGTTATATCACTGACTGCTTTCAAGACTTGACTAATGAAATCGTGAGAATCTGGACATGAGAAATTTTTTACCGATGTAATGGCATATCCAATATTGGATGATGTTACAGGATGCATGAAAAAAAAAAGGAGAGAGAACAGGGGAGTTTTCAAAGTTCAATAGTTAACAAATGGTTATTATCATATGCTGCTCGTTTAGTTACAGTGAGTTGTTTATTACATTCTTTTTTGAGATCTCTGTACACATTAATCTCCTGTGAAAGTTTTGATGAATCAGAGATCTGTATCTCTCTGTGCTCTGAGTTAATTGTTGAACCAAACTACAGGCTTTGTTGTTGTAATTTTAGTTTTTTTTAATGGAAAATGTCTTCTCCCAGGTCGTGAAGGGAAGTGATTTAAAGAGAAGCTAGGAAGTCAACATCTCAATTTAACTTGAAAACTTGCCAGTACTTTTAATCCGGCGTCTCTGTGGGTAACTGGTTATATTTTCCATTAATAACTATATGTGTAATGTCCTACATTATCAGAAAGACAAGGTTCTTATACTCCACATTTGAAAATACTTGAATTAAAATTGGTAAGAATATTATCGACACAGCTAGATTTATGAGCAGATATTCTAGTAAAATCATCAATTGTAATAGAGATACCATTAGAACTTGCCAAATATGGGAAATCATCTAATAATGAAGAACTTCCTTTGAAATCAGTTAAAAAATCACCCAGTAATGTAACCTGTTGATCATTATTCAGAAATTTTTCAAAAATGGCTTCTAGATTATTGATAAAAATTTCAAAATTTCAATTGGAGCCTGATCTTCAGCCAAGTAAACTTCCATTGTCATCAGGTAGTTTTCTTTAAGTTTCTTATCAGAGCAAGTTTTTGCTCTATCTGCAGATAGACTGCATCACATTTCATACACTAGTCCGGAAATTGTATTTTTCTTACAATATTTGCATATTTTCCTCAGTTTATCGGAATTATAATTGCCACTCGCCGCCATCTTATATATGACAAGCTATCAATTCTGTCCCTTCCTTGCATTGCTTACCGTTTAGTTCTCCGTTTTACACCCCTATTTTATTCTGTGGTTCTCTTCGCAGACGGTCCTTTTATAAAGATTTTCCCGTGTGTGTACTATTGGTGGCATTAGATGGGCAATGTTTTATGATTGGCTGCTTCAACATCATAAGCTCAACATAAATTTTCCAAACTTCTTTTTATTTTGCCACCAATCAAGATTAAAGAATAATGGTATGTTTAATAAGTAAAATATGTGGTACTGTAACCAAAAAAAGCAACATCCAATGAGAGAAGGCAATTTTCAAGAAAGGTTTTGGGTCGAAGTCTGGACTGGTATTATTGTGAACAATATTAGGGTCAATCTTGGTCAAGTTCAGTAAACAGGTCAGACAGTTGAGTTTCCTTATAAATGAAATCGACGATCATCTTTAGCGGTTTTACAGCGAATTTATTCCCAAAAAGATAGAACACCATTATACCAGAGACGTTCTTAGTAACTAATAGAACATTTCATTTTGGGATATGTTGAGGAAAGGACAACAGCCCCAGATCTCTTGAAAATTACCATTCTATGGGCATTTAGAAGTATAACGCCTCAAATGCCTCCCTCGTTACCAAACAAAAAAAAATGCTTTTTGAAAATTTACCAGCCAGTGATTTTTTTAATAAACTTGTCTATTGTACTTTCAGATATTTCAAGTGCATTGTTGAAGTTATTGATAAATTTTGTTAGTTTTGCATTGTTACATTTGTTAATACAAAAAAAATTCTTTTTTTAAGAATGATCGCCTCGTGAAAAATAATAGTTGGACACCAAAATGTAATTTCTTCCAACTTGTCTTTTACCTGTGTATCATACTAGTCACTAAAACTTTGCGATTATAATTTTTTGACCACAGATCATGAGCACGCAACTGACTGAAAAATAAATTGATAATAGAATAAACTTACTCTCCTTTTAACATACCATTCTCCTATACTGAATCTCATTTATATACACCAGCTACTCTAGAATTTATGATTTGTTTAATAAACTGGTTTACATTTTTACAGCATGATCTGAATAAATATTCAATAAGCTGCTCGGAATGTAATTTTCAAGGATGTTCTTTCTAATTGGAGAGTCACGTGGTTTATTCAGTGTTTCATGTTACTATGAAAACATAATAGATTATCCCAAACTGTTTTTGATTGTGAAGCAAATGAATTATAATAAATGTGTTGGAATGATGAAATTTTTTATATTTCTGGTTATAGGCATATATTATTTTCAATCATGCAGTTTGTATATTATTGCAATGGCAGAAGAAAATAAAATAAAAATAAATAAATATTAAAAAGTAACAAATGACTAGTACTAATTACCTTTACACAAAAAACTAATTTGTTTTATCAGTTCTCATGAAAAACCGACTGATGAGCAATTCTGATATAAATAACCCATCTTTTGGCTTTTCCCAATTAAACTAGGTTTTCATTAGACAACAGATGGATACAGAAAAATATTCAACATATTCCAATCTGACTTTAGTTAATTCTAGAATTGAAATTTTATGCCACAAACATCAATTTTCTTATAAACTTTCAACTTGAAGTAAATACTAGAACTTTGATTTTTAACTTTTGTCACTGAACTTCGACAAATTTATTAATTCTTGAATATCTATAAAATTTATTAACTCTTGAATATCTATAATTTAAAGAAAGTAGTAAAAGAGATAAATACTGATAACATTTTTTGGAAACTTTTACCATGTGGAAAAATCAACGTCGCAGGTGGCATATATTATTACGTATAAAAATAAAAATATCACAAAATTTATCAAGAATGTCAGATCTTATTTGAAAAAATGTGGAAATTCGTTTGATATTTCTTTCACTAATTTTTGGTCAAATTTACTCCATTCACTTTCTTCGCAAAAAATCCTTGTAAAACATTTCAAAATTTCATCCACTTTGTGCCTATGTTCATCATAGTTTGTATTTCTCATTACCCTCCTACAGAGCTCCAAATATTGTCGCCTTCTCTGAAAATAAAAGTATAGATTATGCATATACCTTGATAAGGGAATCAGAGAAAGTAAAAAAATCATTAGTCTTGAAATCGTTCCACTGAATATGAAAATACAAATATTTCTATCAAATAGCTTGTCCCAAATATTGCTGAACTTTATATAATAAAAAAATGTTTTTACAAAATGATTTCACTTGTAGCTTTTATACTTACCATATCACCTGATGACAAATCTGAAATATTTCTGACTATGATATCTATTAATACTTTGATGTCATTGGTATAGAATAAAGCTGCAGTTGTTCTACGACTGAAGAGATCATTGAACAGTTTCAAGAGCGAATGAGGGGGTGCAGGTTCATGATCAAAAATTCGTACAGGATCCTCTGAAAAGGTAATATGTGCTACAGCAGAACAGTGGAATATGCATAATTAATGAACCTCACCTTCTCTATTAATGAGGAGAAGGATTTTTTCAGTAAAGGTTTTAGCTACATCTCTTTCTTCTAAAGCGGCCAGTATTGGGTTTTCAATTTCATCAGAAAATTGTAAATTGTAAGAAATAATCAGGTTGAGGAACAGGTCCGGAATTTGTTCATCCAAATCAGTGTCAGGCGGATACTCAATATTGTCAAGTATAAAAGCCAAAAATCGTTTTCCCAGCAAATCTGAAAGTATGAAAATATATATCATTATGTAAATCTAATACAGTGTGTCCAAGATAAGGATCCTAAGCATGAGAATCTCAGTACCTGTTGGAGATACAGCTTAGGTTAAATTAGGAAAAAGTTGTGTTCTTTAAAGCTTATTTACATGCCGTTTAGAAACGTGAAGAATTTTCATGGCCTGCTGAGATATTTGGGAAAAACGAGATCTTGATGATTTTCCTTTGCATGACCACTTCTATCTTCAGTTTTTCATAATCCATTTTCTCATTTGTTGTGAGTGCATCCGCAACATTTGTGCCAGTCGCATCCTTATCCCAAGGACTATTAACGAGTGTACCTAGAGATTGACCTTTGGATTGTCTGTATAGATTTTCTTCAATTTCCACCCCCAACGAGGAAAAATAGGGGTTTGAAAATTGTATTAAATTTCGTCAGTTATGACGTTGGAAACGTGAAATGTTGAGTTGATAAAAAAATATTGTAAATATATGTTTAAAATGGTCTGTCACGAAACTTAATGTGACAAACCAAATTCTACGCCGGTGAAGCCGCGGGCAACAACTAGTATTTATTATAAAACATATAGTTAAGTCAGGAGAAAATATTTTTATAAACATATAAGTAAAGATTTTCCTTATGTAAGTAAACAAAATAATCTCCCTTTTCTGCATCTGTCTACAGGAAACTTACTTCACGCCCCAAGAGGAGTTCAAACTGAGAGAATACTACAGTTATAGAAAGGATGCCATACCAAACTACAGAACCAGAGGAGGTGTAGCTATCTTTGTAAAAGACCACATTTCCAGTCATGAGAGAATTCTCCAGACCAGAATTGAAGTCTTTTTTGGCACAACTCCACTAACGTATCACCCTCATCAGAATTTTCTAAATTTTGGAACGCCATTTGAATAAGCTCAAAAATTGGCAACTTTATTCTAATTCACACCGACCTATTTATAAAAAATTTATTCCACGTTGCAATGTGTTACGATTATTTCATGAAATCTGTCATTGTGATTACTAACTTCAAAATGTAATCGTAGTTGGTAGTTAGATTACATGTGAGTAAATTAGTGATCTAGTAACTTCATCTTGATTTCATCAGTGGAAATCTATAATAACTACATTAAAAAAATTACGTTGAAGGAGTTCTAGTAAAGGGAGATTTAAATAGGGCTCTTTACTAGTACAACCAAGAACTGAACTTCCTTACAGGTGCAACATTCAAAATAAAATTTATCTACCAGAAATATACATTTTTATTGACTGAATGAACAGGGCGGCCACTTTTTCAATTCTCCTAAGATGACATTGTGAAGTTTAGAAGAATGAGCAACAAAGTCCGCGGCCGCCAACAAAGTCAAAGACTTCTGTCAGAACCTAGACAAAACTCACCAGGAAAACATCATAATGACGAACATACTGCCTTGCATCAAGGACCTCGTTGCCGACCCAAACCAGCACGTCAAGTCCGCTCTGGCTTCCGTCATAATGGGACTGAGCCCGATATTGGGCAGGCACAACACTATCGAGCATTTGTTGCCCCTTTTCCTGACACAGCTTTAAGACGAGTGCCCCGAAGTCAGGCTGAACATTATCTCGAACTTGGACTGCGTCAATGAGGTGATCGGCATCCAGCAGCTGTCACAATCGTTGCTGCCGGCCATCGTCGAACTTGGGGAGGATTCCAAGTGGAGGGTTAGATCGACGATCATCGAGTACATGCCGCTGCTGGCTGGCCAGCTTGGCAGGGAATTCTTCGATGAGAAGCTGAATGCTCTGTGCATGACGTGGCTGATGGACCATGTTTTCGCTATCAGGGAGGCAGCTACGATGAATCTCAGGAAGCTCGTCGATCAGTTTGGAGCCGAGTGGGCGGAAAGTACGATAATCCCTAAGGTTTTGGCAATGTCTCGAGACCAAAACTACCTCTACTGAATGACCTGCCTGTTTTGCATAAACGTTCTGACTGAAGCATGCGGCAGTCACATAACGACTAGGTTGCTCCTCCCGACAGTCCTGAGCATGGCCAACGATAAAGTAGCGAATGTTAGGTTCAACGTAGCTAAAACTCTGCAGAGAATAGCGCCGCAACTGGATCAGGCTGTCATCCAGCCACAAGTGAAACCAGTTCTCGACAAACTTAACGTCGACAACGACGTTGATGTAAAATATTCCGCGTCGGAAGCCATAACGGGGATTGCTGCTCTAGGTTGAGTGAAAGGGTATAAGAAGAAGGGATGTAAAAGCAGAAATAACAATAACAGTACAGATTGGAAACTCAAATTCAAATCTATTATACATATTAAAATGATTAATCTCATAGATTGCAATATCACATGATTGTTGTGCTCTATTATTTCAATAAAAGAAAAAGTGTAATATGGCGTTTTTAAAAGTTTAGTATCAAAATCTTTTAGTACTATTGTCAAAGCTATTTTCAGTTTTTAATTATTTATTGGATTTTTTTTTTATATTTTGCATGTGAAAGGAAATGATATTACAAACTTAGAAAGGAAGTTCAAATTTATCTTTGGTTTTATACTATAAGATTGTTTTGTATTATAAGTAGTTCTTTATATGAAATATTCCAGACTGCAAAGTACTCCAAGTGCTTGCAATAATAGTTGCCTTATTGACCATCTAACCTCCATTTGATAATACTGTATTAACGTGTTGATTACATGGTATTGATCATGAGATATTACATGCCTTGATATACTCGCATCAGCATTAGACTGAAGAAAAAGGTAATTACTAGGTACGTTGATAATTTTTGGTTACTGAGACTGGCGAAGGAATTTCAATTTGAATATTATTACTTCTTGATATTTGTGGACATCTACTTTCAGATTTGTGTTTTTTATATACCTACATGAAAGAAAACGTGAAATGCCACCTTCAATGTATGAGCACATTTTTTCCACAGTAATCAACATAACGTTTTTTTCATTCCATTCAATAACTTACATTACAGTCAATGATGCATAACTGAATCATAAAAAGCTCATGAAAGCATCCAATCTTCATTATACAAGTTAACTCGTTCTGTGAAAATCAATTTTGTGCATTTATGAACAGAATGAAAATGTATGTATTTCCACTTTGATTTCCTGCCTTCAGCAGTACTGTGCTATTGCCTGGCAGTTGTACTGCTGAAATATATAAGTCTCCTGTAACCTTCTTGAAGTTCATGAACCACTGAACAGCAATATGATCAGTTCTCACAGTGACATGACCCAATGGGTAGGTATGAAAGTGTTCAAAGAATTTCACTAAGACTAAAATAACCTTCCTGTCACGCTTCTGCTCAGCTGTGGCCAAGACCAGAACTGGTGAGGCATTTCCCCAAAAACTAATTCCATATCTTAGACGGGACTCTACTATAAAGTAGACAGCTCTTCATGTGGACAACATCAATTCCCTCGAAATAATTCTTGTTGTCAATCATCCAGATGACAGTCTTGCATAAGTTTGAAATGTGGATATCAAAAGAGAGATAATCATCAACATGATTATTATTAAATAATCTAGAAAAATGTTATCCGAAAATACACCTATAAGTTGAAATGCAAGTCTTTAAGGTATTCAAGGATGATCTATTTGCATCAAACCTTCAATTTTGCTAGAAATAGCAATGAAACGAAAACAAAACCCTGAGGAACCTCAGAAGTCACGAAAAGGGACTTGGACAACTCATTACTGACAAAAACGAATACGACATAAAATATTTCCAAGCATGGCTATGTTGCTTTCTGTAAAAATCTCCTCCTTCTCTAACCTCAATATTTCATTTCTTGTTGTTCAACTGTTTGAATAATTTCTTATTCTTTATTGTTCTTTTCTTTTATTTTCCTGTTTTTGAAATTGTAGATTCATTGAAATGAGCAACTCAGTAATATCTAGGGAAGTGGCCATTTCTTCATAGTTATTTACTCCTGCACTTTTGATAATTACCAACTCTGTTTATTTATGTGAAATACAACTCAAAATACTGTACTTTAACTACACTTCATGATTATTTCAGTAATTACTATTGATTGTTAGCCTCTCCACACTTATCTGCAATTTCCTTCTGAATTAATTTAATTTGCATCGTGATGCCCTTGTAAATTCAAAGTCAGGACTTAACTTTTCTAGGACCCTCATCATTACCTTCTTGAGAGATTATTGCTAGCCATTCAATTCCTCATTTGCTTTCAATAAATCTTTAAATGCTTTATCTTGGGATAAATTGCCATGGTGACCATACTCTAGGTACAACGCCAATTCTGAGCTAAATGCCAGAGGCGTAACAATTCTTATCATGTTGGTGATAATGAAATGTGGATATCAAATTATTTTTTTACTTCATCTTTATGTATGTGATAGCTTGTAAACCATGTAAGTGAATAATTTGAATGGCTTCTTCATTCAAATTTGAATAGTGATTTCATCATTAAAGTTATAGAATATTATTCATAAATCCTAGACTTTTTATAAAGACATACTTTTCATTATTCTATAAAAAATCAAGGTATATTAACGGGTTGCATCAAATTTTCAAACATAAAAATAGCTTCCAAAACTTCTTGATAGGACAAGATGATGAAAAGTCTGTCGAGTCTGCAACAAAAAACGTATTTTTGTTAGATTGAAAGAGTTATTAATATTTGTTTCAAAGACCACATAGTTCATAACCAATTTCGTAGGACACAAAAGTATTTTTGAAAAAACAAGTTTCAATTTGAAAAATAATGTTTGAAATCATCAAAACATACATGACACTAGACTATCACTGGATGCTAATAAGAGAATGGAAATATCGAAGTGTGGCTTGAGAACTATAATCGGCAAAAAACGGCTAATAGTAAACTTTTATACAAATCACTCTCTTTGAATTAGCCAGATAATTCTCACAAATTTATACTCAAGAAATAAGTGATATGTGATTCTTTTCAATTCAACGTGATTGTTGATAAGTGAGTAAGGGAAGCTTTTTTGTTGGACAATAACTGAAACATTATTTCTGGAAATATTGGTAATTATGAACTCATTGTTGAAATGCAATCTATAAAACATTTCACATCACTGCAGCACATAGACATACTGTGCTAGTGGTGAATACTCGTTCTCAAATCACTTGGTTACTGTTGATACACCAATATATTTATCAGGTTCAAACTATGAGAATGTGTGGTCAAGATAATCAATGAGAAACTGAAGAATATATTCAGATGGTGTAGTGTTAATTGATAAAAAATAAATTTGTGTTGATTAATAGGAAAAGAGCAAAAATTAATGAGATAATTGAGGTGATACACAAACATTAAAAATACTTTGGTGTTTTTTAAAGGTAGAGCTTGAATTTCAGAAAGCATTTAAACTGTTTTTTCGGAAAGAACGTTTTTGGCTTTGTAGTACTCCATCTTGATACAAAAAAATGTGGAAGATTCCTACATTCCTACAAGATGGAGTACTAGACAGCCAAAAACTTTCCCAAAAAATTAGTCGCTCCTAAAAAAATAACCCTTTCTATTTAAACATTTAAACTGTATTATCAAACAAAATTAGGAAAATGAGAAACCTTTACAAATATTACCCTATTTAAACTATTTCGCCCCAATACTACATAAAATATTGCATTGAGAATAATTTCATTTTGTACTAAACTCACCCCAATCAGGGTTTATTTTTTCTTTCACTTTGTGAAAAATATAATTTTTATTATCTTTTATTTATGTATCACAAAGAGAAGTACTATGTATTGTGTTTTCAAGAGTTTTTAGCGACACAACAAAACCCTGAAAATGATTACAAAAGTATACATCCAATGTATCCAACAACAAATAAATCAATCAATCAATCATGATCAGAGCACTGATATGAGTCAGATTATTCAATAACTATTTAGGAATTCATTTTTTCTAAAAAGTATAAAATAGAAATTACCATTTAAATGGTAAAATATTTGAAGTGGCAAAGTGTTTCATGAGAAAATATGTTTATGTCATTTTGAATGATAAAATAGAACTTTTGTACCACTGAATATTGAAAGTAGATGTGACAAACCAATTGTGATTTTGAATTAGTGATTAACATAAAAAAATGTATAGTTGAAGAAAAAAATTTGAATTTCGTTAGTCCAGAAGTTCATAAATGAATCATACTTTTTGAAAGACATACCAGAATAGAAATGAGTTCCATAATATATTCTTTAATAACATCTTCATCTTCATGTAACATCCAGCTTCTTTGTTGAGAATCCTCCTTGCAAGAAGTAAGTTCGTTGAATATTATTTTAAGGCGACTAGCATCATGAGTTTGATCGATTTGAACATCGTCAACAAGAGAAGTTTGTGAATGAGATAAAATTGTACTGAGATATGGAAATACTGAAGCCGGTAAAAGCTCATGTAAACCCTGAACTACAGTTACGACGGCTACCCGTGACATTTCATGGGATAGCTGAGTATTGATTCTTACACTCTCAACTAAATCATAAACAGACTGATGTGTAATAGCAGGGGAAATGTTACTACTAGTTGAGGATGATATATTAGATTCAGACTTCTTACGCCCATTACAAATTTCAGACTTTATTTCTTCGTGGATGTTTTCTATAGACTTCTGAACACTAGCTCTACTTAGTCCTTTCTGTATTGGTTTGATTAGTTCCTCAGTCACAGTTCTAGAATTTCTTGGTTCTGATAAATTAGAAGAATAACAGCTAGTTGTTGAGACAGTTTTAATAGGTTCTAATTTACCATCCGAGTTTTTAAACAGTAACGGTGGCATATCGTCACTATCTGCACCAATTGAATTCTTTGAAACCTCAGGTAACTGCTCGATTTGCCTTTTCAGATCCTTCAATCGCAGAATGACTTCACTTCTATCTCCAATCGTACATTCTGAAGAAACATCATTTTTTCTCAAGTGTTCCAAACAGTTGTCTAAGAACTGTATATAAAAAGAGGGGTTTACTGTGACCACTTCAACATAATTTGAAGGAATGTAGCCCATGTCACCTTTTTCACTTATTACTTCCCACCAGTTTTTGTGTTTCGTATTTGTCTGGTGCAGCAAGAAATATTCATTACTTTTGAAGCTCAGTGTTTTGGCATATGTTGCTTTAAAGTCATATAAACTGTGCAGCATGTCAAGATTTCCTGAAATAAATTTTTGATATAGGGTTTGCAATACATCCCAGATAGGAATTATGGCAGCTTACCAGTCAATATGGATTTTTCAGAAAAATATTGTGGCTACAAGTAGCTTCAAGTAATAACAATCCTAGGATAATAGCGTCATATTACTTAGAAACAATTAAACAATTGTAAGTTGTACCTACATTGCTGAGAACAGATGAAGGAACAGAAAATATCATAGTTGGATCTTTGCAGAGTTATTTAAGGTAGGTATTATCACAATGATAATTTAGCAGGATTCAAGAGTCATATTGAAGGAAATATAATCTCCAACAAACCTGAATCTTTCTGGTCACAAATGCGACGACAGGGTATGAGTTCTTATAGATAAGTTTTTTCAAAGATCTCAAACACCGTATAAATTATGATGATATAGTGATCAGCTAATTGTGAAAAGTCTCAGATACTGTTTTGGTTCTATAATTTGGGGTGAACTAGACCTTTTGGCGAAAGACTGGAACACACATACTATAAGGAAACAAAAAAAAAACTTGCATGTGACAAGCCGCACATTATATATTTATGATGTTTCCTAGTGACATGATTTATGTTTGATTTTTATGGCTTACCTTAAACGATTAAATAATCTATATTGTACCTCCAATTTTTCTCATAAATTCAAACCTCTTTCGGATTATGAAAAAAAATGCTTATATTGCCATTTGAAAAAATGAGTTTGTGGTTACCTCCAGTCAAGATAAGAGAATTATAGTACTATAGTAACCTATTAATTTGAAACCTGTATTTTCCAAACTATAGAAAAATGGGGGGTATACCCCATCTCGTTACCCGTTACTCAAATTTAATGTTACTGAACAAGGGAACCAAGTCAAATCTTCTGTCTCTCTTGTTTAGGATTAAGATATTTGTTTTATTCACTATTATTATTATTTGTAATAATGTTTTGAATATATTTGTGTTCAAAATACCTTTTTTCCTTTGTGTTTGAGAGGCTTGTGCAAGCATACCTTTTAACGTGGTTTGCAACTCAAAGAACCGGTGATTTTGCTAGGATTTGAACCGAAGGTATTATGGTTGTAAAAATTAATTTCTTTCAATTGTATGACATGTGATATTTATTCAGTAAAATATTAAATAAATTGGTTAACAACCATGTCTCGACATAAATAATACATAGGTAAGTGCAAGTAGAATTTTTCTGAATTATCTAGAAATCAATGAAAATTAATTCTCTGCATGTGTTTGAGTCACGACGTTCCAACAATAACATATACTGTCTTAATCAAGTGTGAAAATTTACTTGACAGATGCAGAATTTTTTTTTTGTTTTCTATGGAAAACTCGAAAAATTGTACCTACTTGTACTGATACATTGTCAACCACTTTCAAAGATACATAGGTAAGTATTAAGAAATTATTAAGTGGCAGTTGCTATTCAAAAACGTAACAGAACTATTGACTGTTTTTCATATGGTACAGTAGGTTTTCCACTAATATTTTTTTACGAAAAAGTCCTCTATTGATTGGCCTATTGTAATAGAATTTGGCGGGTTGGAATGACAATAATGGCATATCAGATCTAAAATAGATTCAACAGCTTTATTTGAGATATTCATAACCATTCTCCCCCGAATCACAATAAAATACAGCTCATAAATTATTGTAGTTGCAATGAAAGCATATTCATAATTATAATAGTTGAAATGAAAAATGTGGATAGTTTTTGAATAAATCGGTACAGCCTACTATTCTATTAACATATATAAATGGATAGAAAAAAGTAATAGAAAACCAGCCATTTATTATATTTCAAATTACGCATACCTACCAATGTGACACAATATCTCTGTATGTTGCACAAGTGACGTAATATCTCTGTACGTTCCACAAGTGACGTCACATATCTGTACCAGTGAATCAGTAGCATTGTATGTCGTGACCGGGCTTCTGTAAGTACATGAATACAAAGGTGGTAAATATTTATAAAGGGTGCAAGAACACTAGGGTCTAGAGATAGCAGCGTTGAAATTGTATTTTCTATTTGCCACATCAGTAGTTATCCATTTAACGGATATTGAATTATAATATTAATCTCTATTTCATTTATTTTGCATTCATTTCTACAACAAACATTCATATACAAAATGGACCCATCCAATCAAACATTAAAAGGCAAGACCTTGTTAATCCTTAGCTCGCTCAAGTTTTGATTTCTGAGGGCTGTCGCAAAATTCACATAAGAAGGTATCATTTTTAGTACTTTTCAAAAAGAAAAAATAATGTTGCATCCTCGTCGCTGAGAGGGCGCTACCAACTGTTTCTTTTTAACACGCTAACACGCTCAATGCGATGATTAATTTAAGATTTGCGATTCGCAACAGAAATGTGAATATGTTAATAGACATGAACGAACTTAAATGCCACTTGTGATAATCCAATCTGACCCATTGTCAATTGTCACTCGTTACATTGAGAAAATCACATTTGTATTTGTATAAGCAAACTAGTGATTGAAATATAAGAGTACCTACAGAAGTCCTTACCATATTTAAGATATATTATTACTTCCATCTGATTATGTTGTCACATGTTGTTCTTTGAAGCTTGATTTCTTTCAATTATTTAATTTTCTGATAGTTTCACTTGAAGGTTATTTTATTGAATATATTGCTATATTTTTCACTTCAGGTTACATAAATCAAAAGAGGGTTAACGTTAAGACTGTCAAGCTGCAAGAATTGAAATGAAAAATAAATAGATGAGTACTCATGTCACTGATGATGCCCAATAGGCTGAAACAGCTGTATGCCGGTGGATCTTAATTGAAATTGTGAATGGTCGGAGGAGTGCTCATCGCAGTCGCTACTCAATCAAATTAGTTCATTTTTTTGTAATTGAACTATAGAATAATGGATTATCATGCTCCGCCCAGTCGGAGATGGTACTTCATACATCACATAATCTTGCTGATTATTTGAGTAAATGTGGTAACCGGTTATCTGTGGTTAAGGAACGCAACTGTTCCTATGACATAGATCTTTCACAATCGCGGTGTTCAAATATCTACCAGAGACAACCAATCACTATACAAACGAACAGATCGTTAATTAAATTTTCATTAGACTGGTGAATTTGTGATTGATTTATGTAAATTCATGGGCTGTGTATTTGCCAGGTGAAAAAGAAAGAATTATTTTCAAAACAACTATGGTTGATTGTGAGAGGCAAGAAGCTTCAAATTTGGTAATTCAAATATCTATTTAGGTCAGTATAGGTATATTGGTTCATTATAAAACTCATTTTCAGCAAAAAGAATTCGAATGGGTATTAAACCAAGAAGTTCATAAGGGACTGGCCCAGATTCACCAAATTCTTGTGGTAAAATATTTTTTAAGTACATGATATACAAATATTTTTCCTGAACCTGTCTGAATGCATCCTTGCCAAATTATTTCACAGCTGATTTTTAGTTGCTTCCTTTATAAATTCCTTTGACATTGAACTAAAAAGATCAAACATAACATTAACAGTGAGGATAATTAATTTACTAATTTTTGGTTTATTGAATATACCCGCACCCTAGAACTGTAAACATTAAACACAAGAATAATTTTCTAATGAAGTAAAGGAGGCTGGCGAAATCTAAGCTACAAATAATTTTTGGGAAAAATGTATTTGGCTTTTCACTTCTCCAACATTATACAAGTGGAAAGCTTATGAAGAAAATTAGAAGAAAAAGTTCACCCAAAATGATTACTTTCAAACATATGATGAACACATTTAATTAAATGAAAATCATTTCAATTTGTATTCCAAACAAATTGAAAAGGAAAAAGGGTAATTAAGTGTTTGAAAGTAGTAGTTTCAAATGGACTTTGTATTCCACTTTGTACCTGAAAGAAACTTCTATGAATGACCTACATATCCTAGTAAAAAGATTTTGTTTGCCGAAAACAGGAAACAACACAAACGCACAGAGTCAACAACAGGAGCCAACCGCACATTTGTGGTTCCAAATGCGAACAATAATATTATTGTTCTCGGTCTTCTAGAACGTTCAGCGTGTGCAGTTAAAAGATCCAGTTTTCGCAAAGTTTAGTATGTAAACTTATGATAGTTCTTTCTGATGGAATCTGTTTGGATATCTTTCTCAATGAATTTGATGGGATTCTGCAGCATTACCATTAGCAAGCCCATAAATAAAATGCAGTGTGCTAATTAGGTGTTGTTTCTTATTTGACGAGCCCCTTAAACTAATTTATGGTGAACTAGTTGTTGCCCGCGGCTTCGCCTGCGTAGAATTTGGTTTTGTCACATTAAGTTTTGTGACAGAACATTTTAATCAAATAGTAACAATATTTTTTCATCAAACCAAACTTCAGGTTTCCAACTTCAAAACTGACGAAATTCAATACAATATTTGAACCCCCATTTTTCCCCCCCAGGGGGTGGAAATTCTTGATTTTCTTTCTTCATGCTTATTTACGCTATACAAAAAATCAACCTGTATATTTCAAGATTCTAGGTTCAGTAGCTTCAGCTGTACGTTAATATAAGAGCGGGCAACAGCTGGTAATTCCTATTTTTACTTTAAAAATACAATGACTAAAAAATATGCCAACAGCACTAAGCACCTATAAAAAAAATCGCAAAATGAACACAACCGTCACCGACGTCAGCCTGCGTTCTTCGAAGATGGCGCTTCATTGCTTAGACTGCCCCTCTACCCCCGCGCAGTGTCCGCCGTCACCTTACAGTAGACGCGACGCGTAATGGTTTACTGCGTTGCGTCAAGTTGATCTTATTGTGATAACTTTTAAATTATTTTTCCAAATTACTTAATGTAAAAGACAAAGTTCATCTATACTAAAAACGACAATTGTATCAATTTTTATGAGTTCAACAGATATTCTAAAATGTGTATTGTAAAAAAAGTATCCAATTCAATTGTATTTATGGCTCAGTATTTTGCATATGGGGCTACCACATATATGCTTTCGCGGACTTTTATTTAGAACTATTAAAGGTAAACAATCTTACGGTACATTAATGTAACTCCGAATCACACATAACCTTTGTAAATTGTAGCCTCATTGTTATTCTGATGTATAAGCTGTATTTATGTAAAGTTTCATCTAAATCCGTTCAGTCGTTTAGGCGTGTAAAAGCCACAAACCATACATACATACATACATACATACATCCATACATACATACATCCATTCTCACAAACTTTCACATTTATGTTAGTATGTAGAATATAGATAGATGTGACTTCTACTAAGATACAAATCGTAATTCTGTGATCCTTGATCTTTTTTCTATCCTAAAAATAATTGTGAAAAAACTACTATTAGTTAGTTCTCAATACTAGTGTGGCAGGTAAAATTTTATGGTGGTCACTTCAACTATTGATGATATTTTCATCAATTTTTATTTACCCACTTATCAGTCATATTTCAATGCAATATAAGTACTTTTTGCATGAACTTGAAATATTTATTAGAATTGGGATGGGTGTGGGAGTTTACTTCAGCTTCATTTTAAGTTTTAGGTAATTACCTAATAATTTTGGAAAAGTAAAGGCATTTTAAATCTTTTTTATAGTTCAAGAACATGCAGATAATAAATTTTCATTTTTTCCTCGCAAACTCAGCACGATACAACAGAAACTCAGGAGAGCAGAAAGTTGGGAAAGAGAGGTTTTAACTTTCCACTTCTCCATCTTTATACAAAAAAAATGTGGGAATCTTCTAAAGGAAGGAAGGAAAAAAATCTCAAAATAAACTCTTTACAAAGATACGTAGATCATGCAAAGCAGTAACTTTCAGACACAAACTGGTAGAAAAAGCCCTCTCAAAACAGCTACTTTTGTATAAACGTTGAATTACACGAAAGAAAAAATACTTTCGAACCAACTACTTCTATATAAACATTGAATTATACAAAAAACAATTTTTTCTATTCAGTTTGTATTCCAAAAATTTGCTATCGTTTATCACTTTGGGAGATTTCTATATAATTCTCATTATGAATATTAACTGGAAATCCTAAAAATCTTGTAATATAATATTTTTAGAGACATACAGAATTTTCTTTTGACGAGAGGTTGCTAAAACAGCAGGTTTAAAATGTCAATTTGGTATATCTCTGGAAACATTAGTATTTTCAGAGTAGTAGAATTAGCTTTTGGCTAGAGGGTGCAAAAATCTTGAAAATTAACAATATTACTTTACCCTGTGTACCCACTTGCTGGTTTCAAGAACATTTAAAATGTCAATTCAGTACAACTATGAAAACATTAAACTACAAACTTAAAATTTTTCACGTATCTGATGTTATGTAAGAAAAGCATGTTCGTATTTCCTTATACAAATTTCATTCTCAGCAATGTGACGGTTACGTTTTTCCGTGTTTTATACAGATTTTTTCCAAAGAGATGAAGTTGCTGGGGGTTATGCATTTATCTTTCAGAGCATTTATTCATATCTGCGAACTTACTTATCTAGTTTTATATTTGTTTCTCAATTTTGAACTGTTCCAGAAGTTTTCCAAATGATCACAGCAATACTAAGCAGAAATGTTGTTAATGTTTGTTTAGGAATGTGCTAGGAGGTTTCCTGTTGCATTATATGGACATGATAATTCATCCAAACAAGACAAATTTGTCCTCTCTGTTCCAGCAGATCAGTTAAAATGTGTTGTCACATTGACTGGAGATAGCATCACACATGCTGTGAGTACTCAGAACAGAATATTTTTTTAAAATGTAATATGTTACTCATTCAGGATATAACGTTCAAAGTTGTAAGACAGACCACGGCAACTATGGTTCGCACCACGATTCAAAGTGAGTATCCATGGAAACTCCAACAGGTTCAAGATGCAGCAAATCATTTACAACAAGCAATTTATCATATTGACGATGTGGGAAAACATTATAAATTCAGGCAAGTATATACTTTGGAATCAATATCTTTCAGTGATGCTGAAAAATTTGCAAAATTGTTTTATCTCAAGATTTTCTAGAAAACAATATCTCTGATAGAAATAAATTGGTAGTACAATAAAACAGAATAAAATAGAATAGAATATTCATTTGACTATTTTATATACAATGGTATATTTATAGCAAGTCAATCATTGCAGTGAGTTATTAATAGAGAATTTTACATAATAAAAACACTATAATATAGATAGAGAAATAAAATATAAAATAAATAAACAGAATATACATAATCTGCAAGTCTTTCACCAGTTGAATAGTATCAAATCATCATTAAAAAATGTCATACGTTCTATGTATTCAGAATTCGAATAAAAAAGAAGTCCAAAATAAAATGTTTAAAATTATTTTGATACAAAATGAATTGAGCGATCTGAATCTGACAGGTAGATAGAATGGAAGTTTAATGAATTTTATTTGGAAACGAAAGTCGGTACTGACGATTTCTTATATAATACGCTTGTCTTGTATTGCATTGGTGAACTTAAGATTGCCTAATTAGGTGTAACTTAACTTCAAGAGTTCGTACATAAAGGGTTTGAATTGTGAATGAATTTGTGGTTGCTCAAGCAGTCTATATTCGAGTAAATAAAATGTAAATTGAGCAAACTGACGCATTCCTGTAAAACTAGTTTCCATTCACTAACGGAATGTATTGTTACGTTTTCCCCCTTAGGTTTACCAATAATTGTATTGAATTATTACACAGTTCATCATATTTTTATCTTCACACCCCAGACCTATTCGAGGGCATTGTTAAAATACATTAATATAAGATTACAGGAATGCACAATCATTATCCTAAATAAACATGGTCATAAATAAGTAAGACCCTTCAGTTTTATTCGTTTCCCTTGACACTTATCAGGCCAGCTTTAACATCCAACATAAAAAACCACAACCCTCCATTTAACAAAAATTTTGCAATCTCTGTAAGAGAAAGGGACACAGTCAAAATGAATGTAGAGTAAGACAACAAAACCCCCAAGCCACACAAAATGTTCAAAGACCACAAAATCCGCAATTCCAAAATTTTAGGCCCAATACATCAACAAAGGTGACAAATCAAAATAGACCACCGGTAATGAAACAAAATCCAAGGCAACAAAGACCTTCGGCAATTCAACCGAACCCAAATTTTAACAGAACAAATACACAAAGAGCACATCATCTCAACTGAAGAATTTTACGAAAATTCTTATGACTACGAAACGGAAGACTATACTGCTAGTTATCCGGAATACCAAAACACAGATTACCAATTGAATCAGGATTTTCAAATGGATCCCTTACAACCAGATCCTCCCCCTATCGAAGAAATCCAAACTCATATTCAAACTCTGTATATAGACGATTTGAACCCCAATTTGAATTTTCCAGAACAGAAATTCATTTAGGACAATCTCTGATGGTCAATTAAAAAAATTCATTTTATATCATGGACGCTACCAACACGTTCAAAATATTAATCGACACAGGAGCCGGACTGAAAACCGAAAACAGCAGGAAAATATAGAAACCGATTTTCCGAAAACATTATGATCCAAGGTATAACTAATCAAAAAATTTTAATTACTGAATCTGTATTGATACCCTTCTCAGACACACAAAATTTATATTTACAATCTCGACATAGAATTCGACGGACTTCTCGGAGCTGACTTTTTAGAACACTATAACGGCATCGTTGATATACAAAACAGAAAATTAATACTGGATTTCAAAAGAGTATCACTTTTCGAAGCATCGGATGATGAAAATACATCAGTACCCCCTCAACCAAAACCAAAATACCAAGTCACATTAAACCCAGAAACCTCTACTGCAGAAATTGACGACATTTTAGAATACGACCCTGACAATTACGCCTTCGAAAGTAAATTCGACTATTACCAACATTCAAAAGATGAAATTCCAAATGATACCATAAACATAAAACCTCGAATTGAAAAAATTTTCAAATTAAAATGTAAACTTTCGAACACTGATGCTATACTGGTAGCACAAAACAAAGAAAACGTTCGTTTACCAAATGCCCTAGTAGAAGTAAATGAACAAGGCGAGTTCTTGACTTCAATTATAAACTCAAATGCCATACCCAAAACAATACATTTTTCTGACATAAATATTGAACTTATTCAAAAATTTTCTTCAAATCACGTAAACGAAACAGAAACAGAACAAAATTACATTGACAGAGAATTTGAAATTAAAAACCAATTACGCTTAGATCATTTAAATGAAGAAGAATCTGAACTAGTAACAGAAATATGCTCAGAATTCTCAGACATTTTCTATCTAGAAGGTGATCGATTAACGTTCACGAATGAAATCAAACACTCGATAGATACAAAAGACGCAGAACCGGTCTTTACAAAATCATACCGTTACCCCCAAATTCATAAAGAGGAAGTCAAAAGACAAATACAAAATGTTAGAAGACGGAATCATACGACCTTCTATTTCTCCCTGGTCATCCCCAGTATGGGTTGTTCCAATAAAATTAGAAGCATCTGGAAAACAAAAATGGCGAGTAGTTGTTGACTATCGAAAGTTGAATGAACTGAGTGTAGACGACAAATACCCTCTCCCAATGATATCAGACCTTCTCGATCGACTTAGCAAATGTCAATACTTCACTACCCTTGACCTTGCTCCTGGTTTTCATTGAATAGAAATCGATGACAAGGACCTATTAATGATTTATTAGGAGAAACCGGGGAAACTAAATTACAAATCCGTCGTCAATGTTCAGCAATTACATTCCTGACCAGAAGATTATCAATTAAATCTCCATGAATTCAACTCACCACTACACTTATAGTTATTTGTGATGAGAAACTAGGGTACTGGAAAAATAGAGAAAAATCTCATATGGTAACCGTTTCAGAAATCCTGCAACCACATAAAACATGGATATATACCAATGAGATTCTTCCATGCTTCAGTTCTAACTTCAACTCATATATACACGAANATTTTTACTCTGCGGCGAACATAGGTTACAATCCTACTCCCACGTGGACATCCGGTCCACTTCCGTGAATGGGAGTAGGTATTATAAAATCATTTCACTTTAGCACTCCTACGTGGACATCCGGTCCCACCCGGCCTCCAACCGGCGTGAATGGCAGCATTTTTTATTTAAAAACACTTAAACAATGTTTAATAACAATTTTTTAATTTATGCTTGCATGTTATGAAACGGCGGACATTCACAACATGAATTGAGTTCCATCTCCAACATGGGGTCCGCGTGTCTTCTTTGTGGATGGTCGCATCGACTCGTCCGCCCACCAACATGTCAGAAACAAAGCTCAACAGCAAAGTGACATTCTCAAGTTTTATTCTATATTTTTTGCGTTTTACAAATTATTGATTCATACTATACTCCTTCCAGTTTCTAGTATTTCTGAGGACATCAATCCTTCGCAATTACGGAATAAACTTCAGTAAAATTTTTTTGACTTTGTTCTTTTCTAACTGAATTCAGTTCAGTTCCGTTTATTACTTTTTCATTCATTTTGGGAAACCTACAAAAACTTCCTCACTTCCTTTTGATCCAATGGATATACAATTATTAGTTTGATGGCCGAACATGTCTCATGATTCAAAAATTGTATACAGGATATACGAATGCAGTTATTAATCAACTGAAATAATATTTTCTCGTTTTAACAGAATATTTGTCTGTGTAGTATAAAACAGATGATACTGATGAACAGCATTGTGTCACGATATAATCATTTTCCGTTCAAGTTTGTCAATATTATATTGAAATTTCCGAAGTCTACTCAGTCTGTGCCCACATCCTCGCAACCCCTTGTTGATTCTGGACAATTATTGTGTAGGAACCGGAAGTCTCATGGAAGCCACAACTCCCAGATTATGTTCCGGTGTTCCTCCGTTCATTACCTAATTACGTCCTTATCATAATGTATATTACCTTGGTATTGGAATACGTATGGTAATGCGATATTACTGATTAAATTCTCATGATAGGGTTGCATTATATTGATTTCTGCTTTGATATACAATTTTTCACAATAGATATGATAGTGATGAGTAATTTCGTTGAAGAAATCGAAACAAATAAATATACAATTTCTTTACCTCATTGCTGTTGTATTCACAAACTACTTTCATCAATGAACTTGGGCATTTTCTATAAAATCACTAGTATGAAATATTTAAGTCGAGTACATCAGTATTGATATTTTTCATTCAAAAATAGTGGAAAATATATTATTGAATCATAATAACTCATAGCAAAATGAACTAAAACTACTGAAAAAAGTTTAAAAAATGATTCCTCTTGGATGATATGAAATTTTCTGAGATATTTCAGATCATACACAGATTTTTTTGTGTGAATGAAAATATCCGTAAGTAGTAGTACATGTAGGAAAATCCGTCTATCTCTTATGATTTGGAGTTTGTTTTTTATTTCGATCACCAAAACATGTCCAATCAACTCATGAGCGAAGCCTGGTACCCTAGCTGGTAACTAATATGAATGACTTTGGATAAAATTCACTCAAAATGAGTATGTTCCCATTAAATTGGTTCGATGATATAAATTTATTTGAAATCCCTGGAAGAATCTATAAAAATTAAAAAGATATATGACAAATAACAATTGTATCCAGCCAAAACACTGGAATTACAATGAAATAAAATACGAGTGAAAATCAAAAAATCAAAAAAATGAAATTGAACTATCAACACGGGATAAAAATTGAAAATTATTAACAAAAAATCAAAATTGAAAATTGAAAGATTCCACGACGTTTCGTTTTCGGGTGATAACTGGACTTATTCCTCCGAGATGTACAGTAACAATCGAAACGTCGTGAAGTAACTTGGCTTTGAATCTCTCCATCTTCAATTTTCATTTCTTGTTAATCATTTTTAATTTCCATCTCGTGTTAATAGTTCAAGTTTTTCATTTTTCAATTGTTGCTTGAATTTTATTTCAGTTATTTTGCTTGATGAAATTGTTATTTTTCAGCTTTTTTTTGAA